GCGATTGATCAAAATCGGAAGACTTATTCATCCATTCGTTGATTTTAGGAAGAAGTTGAAGTTACACTCACCAGATACCAATTACACTTATCACTTACCACAAATCAGTTTTCTTTCACAGTTGGGAGTGATAGGAGATTTAATGCATGATTTCATACCGAGTGATCTAGAAGCTGAAAATGGAGATTGTAAAGAAAAGGTTAACGATCATGGAGCGATGATTGTTGCGAAATTTGAGTACTAAGCAGAATTGTAGTTCATAGTTTTTCAGTTTTCACGCCGATTTGTTATGTTCTTTGAGAGCATAAAGCCATACTATTTACCTATTCATTTACGGGAATGGGAAGCGCCGTGCTCGTAGTACCGTTCACAATACTAAGGGCTCAATTTATCCAGTCGTTGGCATGGACCTACAAGACCATCATGCCCGACATCTTTCAGGGAACGAGAAAGTGGTTCCAAACTGGTCTGGACCAGTTTCATTCTACCTCTTCCACGAATACTACCATGGCTATCTGAGAACTGAGTGGAAACTCACTCGACCAGCATTCAACACATTCGTAAGAAATCCGAAAAAATTCTCGAGCATCAATGGAAACCACACGAAAAAAGTCAAACGAGTTTCATGGATGAGGGACGCGAGGAAACGAATCAAATGCAAGAACTGCTGGAATTCGTTTAGCGGACCACAAGTGGTCTCGGGTCATGTAATAATAATAAGACAATTTGTTTACATATCCCATTACTACATATCGTACGGATATCAGAACTCTTATTCCACTCGTTTTATCTGTCGCGCATGGAGGCCTTCAAATTTGCGTATGACTTCGGTTGTTGCTTGAGTATTTAGTCTTTTTCATGAAAGTCGTTGAATTCTAGTCTGTCGCAATTTTAACTTATTATTTACTGCCTACTCTTTTTAACGGCAGGGTATGCATTGTGAAATATAACTTCAATGATGCTGATATATTTGCAAAACTCCGGACCGTAAGTGTATGCGGTGGGGAACGAACGCGCTATTGTCCCTTCCGGGGAGTAGCGCGTTCACCATCACGCCACGCGGGTCTTTCGTTTCGAATTAATTTGGGCCCCCCAGATCAATCCCGATCACGGGTGATTGCTGATGGCAAAAAATCAATAGAACTTGCTGAGAGACAGGCGAAACGAAAGACCCGCGTGGTGTGGTGGTGAACGCGCTACTCCCCGGAAAGGACAATAGCGCGTTCGTTCCCCACCATAGACACCTGTGGTCCAGAGTTTTGCAAATATCTCAGCAACGTTGTGGTTGTATTCCGCTTAGTACCCTGCCGCGAAATTACAGTTTTTACAGAAATTACGAAATTACCGCATACACTTACGATCCGGAGTTTTGCAAATATCTCAGCATCATTCTAGTCTGTCAGTTTGACTGCTGTTGATTTCGAGTGGAATACTAAGATATCCATGTAAGAGCACCCGTGTCAAAATGGCGGCGACGCGCGTATTCTCGAGTGGCCCGTGTGAAGGCCGCTCCGCACTTACTAAACCATTTTGAAGATGAATATTAGAACTCTTAGGCTCCTTTTAAAGTTAACGACCTCTTAATACATTGTGGTTGAAGATTCGTAGCGTAACTTCTAACTAGTAGTAGATTTCCGGTCTTAAACATAGCTGTGTTACTGTTGTTAAGGCTTGTTCAAAGTAACTAATTATACTTTCAACTATTAACCTCTACGCGGCGCAATGGTTGAAGGCACTGTAATTTGTCATCCGGAAAAATCAATCCACTGACAGATCATTTTGGTCTTGTAATTGGCGAAGCTTCGGTGAGCTTTGCGAATGCTTTTCCCAGCCTCTGCAGCTTCGACCATTACTGCTGCTTTTCTCTCTTTAAGATCTTCTTTTATGGCCTTTTATCGCCTGTCTGCATTGATGTGCAATTTCGGATGTTAGTTCGCGGTTGCCTGTAGCTCGTGCGATTCCAAGCTGGCGTATCAGCTTGAGTGTTTCTGGAGACAAACGTCTCTTGGTGACTTTCGTACTCTCTGCTTTCATATTGTTAACATGAAGATGTTGAATGAGCCGATCGTATTCTTCGCCGATGTTATCGACAACGGCATCTTCGCAACAGCCCACTAATGAATTGAAAAAGTTCCAGTTTGCGGTGGTTCTGGAACTACGGTTTTGGAATTTAGGTGCTTTTTCTCCTTTGCGCGAGAAATAGAATCTTGCACGAAGGAGACGGTGGTGGTCTGATCCCGTGTGTAGAATTTTGGGGCGACAGCGACAACTGTTAGGCAAAACCTTCTACTTACTATGATGTCGTCTATTTCGTTATGGTACTCTCCACTGGGAGACTCCCAGGTCCAGCGCTGAGAATGGGGCTTTAAAAATTGCGAGTTACCAAAAATGATCTTGGTTGTGATGTTAAACTCAGACAGCCGTTTACTCGCTCGTTTCACTGTAGTTCGTGGGTGCCAATGTGCCGCTAATCAGACTTTTTTTGCAACCAATCTTAACGTTAACAAATTGCATAGAAGAGCTAATTCATTTAAATTCTCCAGTGGTTTTCCAGAGGAAAACCGATTCAGAGCAGCTAGCTAGTATTTGTGATGATCACCTCTCGTGGTCCGCCAAGGAAAAATTGCTTTCCATAAGGAATAGTTTCACTACGTCTGTGACAATAGAACACTGATTGTGCTCAAAACTAACTTGTAGTGATTGAACCATTTCTGTGGTAGCGAGGTAATGAAACAAATGATTAAAGTTCACTGGATCCTTTCAGATCCAGGGATATGACGAATTAGCGAATAGCTCAAAATTACCCGCTCATTTGGCAGACGAAGTGATCCAATGAACAATGAAGTGCTAACATTAACACGAGGAACACCTGACCAAAGATACTGTTTCTTTCAATCTCGCTCACCCTAATCGAACTTCTGATTTTTGTGAAAGAGGGAACTGTTAAATCTTGAGTGTTTTTTTGTAACTCAGCAAATAATATAAGTATCTTTGAGCACTATTTTTGGAAACGTCAGCGACAAATTGTAGCAGTAAGCAGTGAGAATTCTCTCCGAACGTGAAACACTGAGAATCTACCAAGTGCTTTGTTGATGTTCAGTGTTTCCATGACACTATTTGTAAATTTGTTGGCGTCGTCGACGTAATTGTCGCTAATTATACTGACTCGCTTTCACTGGTTTTGCAGGCCTCAGCATAATTTCCGTTTTTTCGGAGTTTTGTTGGCTTAGCTACTGTGGTTCGGTGGAGTCACGAGGTCAGCATGGCCGAACTCTGCTCCAAGTCGTCACCACCACAGGCAGTCGCTGGCCTTTGTGGATCAGAGAAAGATTTGCCAACATGGAGCTAGTCTGATACCAGGACAGTGGTAGAACTTGCTATTGGTTTACTCTTAGCTGGACTTCCTAACGGAAACGTCGAACTCCTTCTCAGCATGGGAGACCTTGCCGGGGAGATGGATCCTCCTACTGTGCTTCGCGGCCCGGCATCCAGATCACCTTCCAGCCATGATGAAGCGGTAAACCTTAGGAGGTTGCTGGTAAATAAAATGGATAAAGTCCTTTCGATAGCTTATTTCCATGCATGCAGTGTATATTTCTCAGTCTCATATTGTCGGAAATCTCGGCAAAATGGATTCGCCCGATAGGGAATTTTTATATTTTCCAAAATGCAGAGACTTTTCCGCCCTCCTCCTTAATATTTTGATCTGCTTTCGATTAGGTAACGACTCAGCATGGATTGTTCGGTAAACAGAAATTATCTGGTACCAATATGGACACTATAGTTTCCACGAGGTTGCTGAGATATTTGCAAAACTCCGAACCGCATGTGTCTGCGGTGAGGGACGAACGCGTTATTGTACTTTCCGAGGAGTAACGCTAAAGTTACTAGCGCGTTCGTTCCCCACCGCAGACACCTACGGTCCGGAGTTTTGCAAATATCTCAGCAATCTTGTGGTTGTATTTCGCTTAATACCCTGCCATAAAAATTATAAAAGGCAGAAAATGAAAAGTAAACTATAGTTTCCATTCGGGGCACTATTTCTTGGTGTTGGAGAGAACTAATAGCTTCTGCATTTATCGTGTTGTGCATGTTTCCACTTAATAATCCAAGTTTTACCAACGTGACACACTTGCGGTTTGGTTCTGAGTCTTTCATATTTATCAGTTTAATTATTTGAGGAGCAACTTCACCTAATTAACGAACGAAAGTGTTTGGAATTTCTCAACGGAATATTAAAAGATAAATTAGACTGTCGATGGGTACTGCAGCTGTCTACTTCATTCCATACAAGTGTACATCCTTCTTTCAGATATACTTCCAGTTTTTTCTTTAACTAGTGTTTTCCTAATCGTCCTTTGCTCGTATTTTTCCGTTGTGATCTTTCATCGTCAAAATCATCAGAACTGACCTGTTGTTCTATTAAAAGCGAGAATTTGAGCACATCGTAGGCGCAGTAGTTGTGATAGAGCACTACTACAAATCTTACGGTATTAATAGTGACTAGAAGGTTGTCTATCCGCATAATCTCACCTTCCTTTTATACGTCTTAGTCGTAACGGTTGTTAAAATCAGGCAAATAGTAATAGTTAAAGATCTACTCTATTAAAACACCACCATTTTTAATTTCGCGCGACGTACCACCACATCTTAGATTGAGAAATATTTCGACCTCACCATCCGAAAGCCCAGCTAAGTACTCTTAGAGTAAAGCAGTGGCAGGAATCATGACCCTTCCTGCTATCAAACTAGGCGCGTGGTGGCAAATTTTCCTCTGATTCACGAGGGTGGCGACACCTTGAGGTGATGAGGAACCAGGGAAAGCTTTGGTTAAGCCGACCTCGGCACTCCGAGAAATCACAATGACTAAACCAACAAGCTGGAGAAAGAAAAATCATGGTTGGGTCCACACAACCAGTGAAGACGAGTCATTCAAGTGTTCAAGTAGGTGTCATCATATGTTACCAAGACAGTATCACTGCTTACATGAGGCTGGTTTCCTACCAACCATCACCATCGCAGGTCTTTGGATATGCCTGTACGTTGGCCTGCAACAAGGCGATTTTGTCCTGCTCATTAATGTCGCTGAATGTTCCCGTTATTGTCTTTCTTTCGATTAGCCATTTAATCACACATCTACCAAAGACAGTTTCTATCCAATCTGAATCCGTTCAAAGTTCTCCCAAATAGATCTTATAGCAATTCTCGAGCAGAGAAGAGGTAGCAAGCTTTGTTATGTCCGGGAGGATTTGCGTAACGATGTAGCCCTACATGCGTCCCAGTCGTCCACAGTGATCATAGATGATTACAGTACTTGCTCGCATATCACCTTTACTCGAAGCAATCATTATTAACCGCATCAGGGTAGTTCATCACCACCCACAAACACTCATTATTCACTGTATTATTGATGAACACATGAGGTTGTTACTCTGCTCTTTATTCACGGAGTGCAATCTGAAAGACTTAGCCTGCACTAGCAGCATTTCTGATGATCGAAACAAGATGTTAAAAAGACAAAAAAGCGATAAATGGAGATCACATTAGAAAGTACATCCTTTTCAAAAGCACTTCGCATTTCCGAATGAGATTTCGGAGACAGGAAAGTAGTTTGGTTGTTCACAACCAAAACAGTGACCAACCTTAAACCATACATTCTTATAAGAATATATAAAAGTGGTTACAATAAGCCACGGATGATTTCCTTAAATATCAATGTTTTCTCCTTCAACATTTCGAGCTTCCGCCAACCGCTCTTGAGTTGTATTCAAGGGTATATTCCTGTAACATAAGTCTTCTATTGAAGTACAAAACAGTACAAACACTAATAGAGGTAAATGTTTTGACAAATTCAGGACAAACCCATAGCCGTGAAGGCCCCAGATCAGGACTATTTGAAGCCGTCTGTTTCCTAGTCTTCTGGTTAGGTTGCTCGGAAAAGGGTTCGCCGATACTTCTAAACAGCAGTGCTTAACATTTTTATTTAAACAAAAGTGGAATGAGAATGAATGGTAAATTTAACTACCTCAGTGTGTCGACCTTTTGGTTTGGGCCTTTAAGGTGGAGGTGGAGGATTCTAAACTACCAAATTTGAATCTATGATGGTAGAAAGAGAAAGCATTATTGTCTAATTTTGCAAATATTCGGTTTTTTCGACTGTAACAAACTTACGTTGTGCGACGGGAATGATAAATATTTGATACTCCTGCCTTTTGTCGTTTTGAAAAATTGTTCTTAAAAGGCTCGTGAAGATTTTGTCTGAAACGGAATACCTGCTATCAAAGGATAGTAATGATATAAGAAATACCGCACTGTTAACAATGTAAAAACTAACAACTCTTTTTGGCTGTAATTTTTCCAGAGTTGCGTAACTAACTCTTCCAGCAAGTCGCCTACTTCATGAAGTAATGCCGCATCGTGGATAATCGATGGTTCAACCAACTAGAAATTTATGGAAATTTAAGGAGTTATCAGCAGCGAAAAGACAGTGATTATCTTTCTATGCAAGAAATGCAGAAATCGAACTTTCTGCAGATGCCTCCAATAGAAGCTAAACAGTAGGTTCCTCTTCATAGTTCAAAACCAAATCGAGAACTGGAGGCTTCCTTTGCTTGATTGCCTGTTTTTCAGCTATCTCTGAATATCGAATTGCCTGCTTTTAGTTCGCAAATCTTCCACGAGATTTCCTTGGAGGTCGGCCAGCTTTCCAGAAAAAACATACTTTTGGAATCTCACAATACATAGTTTTTGGCATAAGAATTTGATCTTGCCTTACCCTCATGAATGCATTATTGTCTTATATCCGAAAATCTCGAAGGCGACTTCAACGAGTTCCTGAATCGTTTTCTCCCCTTAATCATCTACTGTTTTGACATCAGCAATGGTGTCATCGCCACTATGTTCCTTTAATTCCACCCGCCTGCAATGCACGATCCTAGTGCATTAATGTTTAAATCTTTATTTTAGTTGAGATTAGCATCTGTAAACATCCATTCCTATAGGGTTTAAACCATAAAGAATTTTTCCCTTCAGAATACTGCAATAAGAGAAACTAATCTTGTACGAATAAATAGGGGTATCAGGTACTATGTTCTCCGGAAATTAAGGGCAGATTTCAACTTTTACTTTGAAGGTGGCATATCTCGGCTCAAAACAAACTTTACCAATCGATGTAAAAGCTACTATAGGCTACACCTATCCTTTTCAACATTAAAAAGTTTATTTCCACGGCAGCATGAATATCTGGGCTTTAGGAGGATGCAGTTGATGATGGCAGTTTCAACGTCGACTCAGTTTCTGAAGCATCTTTCGCAAAGGAAGCAATCGACATGTTTAAGAAAATAGCAGTTTGGCGAGTATGGCGAATGAGGCAGAGTTTCGCAGTACGGTACGTCAGCACACATCATCATGCTGAAGCACGGCTGCCTTCGTCTTAAGCCTCCAGTGTTTCGGCTGGATCCCGCTGATTTGCTGTACGTACTTCGAATTTTCTCGGTTTTCAAACCTTTTTCGTTGTTCACGAAACAGTTGAGATGATTAAATCGAAGTTCCTGTGGAAGCTCTCAAACAGTCATGCACGTGTTTCCTCTTATCAAGCCCTTCGATTCATTGCCATCGATAGCTGAAAGACGTTCGCCACATTGCTCACCATCAAACTTGAATTTACTTTCAAGGAATTTTTCGAACCTAGCGATGCACTATGCATTCGTTGAAACTTTTTAGGTCCCATATGTCACTGATATTTACAGCCATTTGCGCTGCGTCCAACCAAATACGAATTCGTACAAGCAGATTCCTGAAAACTGCTGTTTCGACATCTTGAATTCTATTTCTTAGAATTTCTTAAAAACGTATTAATGCACAATTATACGGAAGGTAAGTGCATAAAAAGAGGTTTCCAACGGTAAGCAATGATACAGCACACGAAAAAATAACTGTTGCCTGGAGATAAACAGGATAAATGGGATCATAAATCCGATGTTAATTCCCGAAGAACTTAGCAAATTGCTGGACGCCATTTTGTGTTGGAATATGCGATGGCAACTTTGAATTTCACAACTGGAAGCAATAAAATTGCCCGCTATGTTCGTCGGGTGTGGCACAGTGGTCGGAGGCGCACTGCAACACACACATGGAATCGATTCCCGCTCCCATGGCTCACTAAGCCTACTATTTCTCCACCGTCCGTAAATTGGCACCAGACTTGTCTGGGAGTAGCAGCACTGACACGATACTTCAGTAGGCCACCGCGAGTCATTGTAAAGGCCAGATACGCATTCAATCACCTCCAAACGATGTTTAATGAGGGAAGAAGAACGCATGGCAAATCCCTCAAGGATTTATCAATGGCTTTATTCTTCAATTTTTATCCTTTAATCTGCTGGTCGAATACAGGAGTGCGATTGACAATATTCAGACGGATAAAAGCTTTAGGGTGTGTTGGACGTTAAAAAGAATGCCGAATGGATCTCAAGAACTAGTGGCAATATCTAAATAAAGTTACCTGCCAACATCTACTAGTGGCGGCCGTGGAGCCGTGATCATGGTACACACTCTTCACTAAAGGTTCTCGATGCGTTATAGTATTCTAAAGAACGATAGTAGTAAAGCAGATTGTTGAATGAAGCAAAATAATTTGAAAACAGTGCTTGACATCTCCTTCTCGCTTTTGCTCCGTTATCTAAAAGCAGTAAAAAAAACCGTGAGTCTATAGACCATGGTGATACAACGCTGCCAATAAAAATTATATCGCTCAATTACGCTGTCACCACCTAGGTACAGCACCTCTTCGTTGCGTTATACGGTCAAAATTTCCATGAAAATGAAGCAAAAGAAACTATGGCACTTGCAGAGACCCAGTAATGAATAACTTGCTGAATTCTAACCCAAATGAGCAGCTTTGTATTCCGAAACTTACGTAAAGTGGCTTCAAGACGTTACGAGCTTTCCTTTCTGCCAAATACCGACTGAACATTCCAGAACGTGCCTGCATTTGGAGATCGAGCTCTATGCACTTCCTCACCTGATGTCGTTTCTGTAATCCGGCCCGACTGGGGAGTAAGATTACTGTGAAATGACTCCCTTGTAAGTAGAGTCCCAGCCCTCAGCCTTCTAGTAGAAGTAACCCTGGACCTTAATGTTTCTTGGAAGTTTCTTAGATAGTTGTTTTGATCGGGACACGACGACTGGCATCGATGATAAGCATGATCAAAATGACTTGAGGACCAAGTGGTAGTATTTACTACATTCCCTGTCAGCACATCTGGCCTTCTCATAGCCTCTGTAGCAGGCTCATTAGTCAATAACGGCTCTCTGATCACACCAGAATTAAAGGGCAAATTTTGTTGTGATGAAGATGAAGTTGCTGGTGTTAAATTAGTAATCATTCGAGGTGTTCGCTCGATCCTCGGCACTCCTGCATCTTGTTGACGGCCACCGCCTGTCCAGTTATACGGACCTTCTCCCTTCCTTGCCGAATCTGCCATTTTGTGACCATCACGGAGCGTTTGTTCTTCCACACATCTAGAGAGCAAAGCATAGTATTTGTAATCTATGTACTTGAAAGAACGCTTACCGTGTGGACTCATTAGCCGCATGATGCAGACCACGCAGCTCATGTAGTTGAACTACATAACGACCTGTGACAGGATCTATCGTTGGCTGAAATTTTTTGAAATAGTATTCGACACAAACATCTCTAATGAAACACACCTTAATAGTTCCTTTAATAATCCCGCTTATCGCTTTAGATGCAGTTGATCGCTGGTGGCGCAATGTCCTAAAAATGTAGACGTGGTTACATTACACAGTGAGCTCTAATAATTTTTCACTATGTTCAAGAAACTAAGGACAAAACAAAAGTATATCCATTTCAACCTGAAGAAATTAACAAACAAAAACGCTTGGAATCAACGTGGATGTATAAAAATAGCTTACTTCGAACGACCAACAGGTTTGTGATAGAAGAATGGTTGCAAACCTGAAGCTCTCTGCTGCACCGCCTCCTGAGATTATCACAAAATCATAAAAATATCCACATCTTAAGAGTAACCTCCACGCCAACCTCACACTGTCGACGATTAAGAAGGGTATCACGCAGTTGCTTTATTCTTCCTTTTCGCCGTTCGCCATCATTATATTTCTGCGATGTTATAGTAATAACACGGGGAAAATGGTCATGCTTAAATAAGCACTGTCACCATTTCATGAATCAACGAACCTGTACAGGGTCGAGAGCTTTGCCCTTCAATTTTTCATATAATGGATGACACGGTTGTGATTTCGAACTCGACCGCAATATTGGAAAATCATGTGGAGGTGCACCTTCAGAATGATTTAATGATCCCCCAAACAAAGTCGCCGATCCAACTTCGTACTGCGTACGATGATTCACCTCCATTTCCAATGGCGATGAGGTATTTTGAATGACATGATGCATTTCATTAGTATACGGAACTGTATCTATTTGGCGAGTACGTCCTCTTTGACTGAGATGATCGGAATTCGACCGCACATACTGTTGTGGCGAATCTTGACGGAAAACGGCAACAAACTGCTGTGGCTCTAAAGTGTTTTCTAACACGTCATCAGTTAAAACGTCGTCAGTTACCACTTGCAGACATTCGCTGAAGTTCCCCTTTGTTTCCATGTAGGTTTCCACAACAGCAAAAAGATCACCTTCCTCAGGATGATACAGCTGCTGTAATGAGCACTTTGGAATTAAGACAATAGCATTTTAAAGAGCCTGAACACCCACGAACAAACCTGTGCTGTATTTTGCAGCTCTTGAGCCTGATATAAATCCTCGTATACCTCGTCTGACAGCATGGGTATCCATTCGCTGTCATTTGTCAGCAAGTAGTGTGGAAAGGCTGGATTTTCTGCAAAGTCTCTACCGCTGCTAGGATCAACGTGGTCACTGTAGCACCCGTTAGCCTCATAATCTTCTTCACGTCCTACGGGACTAAATTTAAGCTTGTTGGACATGCTGAAAAAAGATATAAGTGCTGCTGGGTATTTTCACGGCTTCTCCAATGTTTAAAGTGGGCAGCAACATGGTCCAAACATGGGTAAAACAGGAAGGAAATTCGACAACTACAGTGCTTTATGTTCCCTTGTGGTATGGGAACCCTTCAAGAAATGTTTATAGCACGAATTATGAGTGAAAATGAGGACTTCAGCAAAAGAGTTGATAAAGAAACTTGTCAGATACTTCAGCAAAACACGAACCAGGTCGAACTCTTAGGAAACGTGTTTTAAACTTTAAGAAAGTTTCAACATACTATAATAAAGTGAGCCAATGTTGAAAAACAACGCAGCCCTAGGTATAAACGTCATTTAGAAATAAAACAACAAGAAATGTTAGTATTAGTAGGCGTGAAAGGCTACTGCCGAGCGCATAGATCATTACAAATTCCCATTGGTACACGTTTTGTGTAGGTGGGATCGTACATCTGTCATTGGGCCGTCAATAGTTGAATTGGAGCACGCTTGTGCCGTGCTTATCGTGTGAAATTCCATCAGTAAGGAAGGATTTATTTAATACAACCACCATCTATCATATAGAATCTCCAGTCGATCCATTGTCAAGCTATGCGTCAGTGGTGTCTTCGGTGCTCATTACATAAGCGATTGACTCACTAATCGCATAAGAAAACAAAATTTAGCAAACAGTGTTACTCTCGTGAAGAGTAAAAGGGTTTCTCGCCTCATTGTATTATATTTACATGATCTTGTGGAGGTAGTGGTTTTGCAACTGTTTTTCTCCATTGTTGCTGAGATATTTGCAAAACTCCGGACCGCAGGTGTCTGCGGTGGGGAACACGATATGCCCTGCCGTTATAGGCAGTAAATAATAAGTTTGAATTGTTTTTCTTTATTGTTTGGATTTTTTAGCAAGGTTACTTTGAAGTTCTTAAAAGTTTTTATTGTGGCCATCTTCTCGGAATCGTGCGGCGTTCCACTCGACTTCATTCGACGTGACGACGATGACGAAAAACCGCATTGCAAGAAGAAGCGATTGACGTGGACACTCGACTCACCACGGGTCTAAAATGGCGAAATTGCCAAACTGTTAGCCATAATAAAGGTTTGTAATAATTATGTGAAAGCTTGTGAATAAGACAAAACATTGATTATCTATCTCGAGGTGCAATGTGGGTCGACAATGAACTCTTTTCCCATTTGTTTTGTAACTAGTCGGTTGTAGTCAGCAGATTTTGTTCTTGGTGAATCAAATATTTCATTTCTGGTAAACTTAATACGACAGCATTCGTTCACCGAGAAGCAATACAGGATGAAACAAAAAGCCTGTTGTGTGTAGACTACACCCACAAGCATACACAAACAAAACTAGGAACGACAGATCTGCTTCGATCCCTCGATCACCGTTTTAGTGGGCTCACGTCTGATCCACTGCACCAACCGAGGCCCTTGCTGTGCACTTTTCTGAGCCATTTTTTCACCCTAGCATTGCCTTCCAGCAATCAACCATCAACGGGAATGGTCTAAGAAGCACAAATAGGCACTGGATCCAGTCGTGCTGAAGTTGCAGTCGAAATCAGCTTCTGTTTAACTGCGTTAATCCCAGTATTCTTGGAGCCGTATTTCACATAATATTCTGCCATAAAGAAAGAAAAGACAGCAAGTAAAATCATCCTTAAGACGCATCACATGAATAAACCACAAGATTTTTGATACCTTGGCTTATACCGAGATGAGGTAGAAACACAGGAGAGTGGTTAATACACCGGTATCTATCGCATCCCGTTCATGGCTCATCAAACCCAAATTATGCATGCCCTGGTTCGATACCGCGTCGGGCCCACCAAGCCCCTTATCTCTCCGGAGCCGAGGAATCGGTACCGGGTTTGTCTGGTAGACATTCATTGCCTCCAATCCACCTGGGACGCATCAGCACAGCTATCTCAGCATCCCATGGAAAATCGTCTTGACCAGCATTCGATGACAGTCATGGAGAAGACGCAACAAAATCTTCAGCCAACAGCTCAGCTTCACGCAAAAAAGTTCGAAGACGTCCGTGGATAGTCAGTGCGAGGAACGAATCAGAAGCAAGGAGCACTATGATCCACGCATTGTAATTAGTGTGATGTCGAGGTGATGTAATAAGTAACAAGAATATCACAGCCTATTCAGTTTTTTTCTTCACGTTGTGGCCTTACTGCCGTTATCGCTACGGCTGTTTCTTCCGGGACTGCGGCTATACCTCGCAATGATTGGCCATTACATGAACATTTGTATGGAAATGTACGGCTTTTTCTGCTTGCATGGCAGTTCTAGAGAAGACACCTTTGATTCACCTAACCACTAGTAGCACACCCGTACACGATAAAGCGGCAATGTAGCGCTGTAAAAGTGAATTCGCAGATGCTATACTGTATTCTGATTTGTTTAAGCTTAGGATTTGTTCCCTCATCTGCTATCAACTCAATCGACCATACTGAGAACTGCACATATGGTAGTAATGGTCCGTTTTCCAATTCTTTCTCAATTTTAAACGCTTTGATTTCTTAATATCTCAAAATATCTTATCTAATATATTTCATCTTATCTTTATAGAAAATTATTGGAAGTCGGTCGACTGGCACAAGTGGCACTGTCCGCTCAAAGTAGATCACATGGGATAGTGGCAATTGATCGACGCCCCCATGTACGAGAGGCCACACCACTGAGGGGATTTCATCATCCGAACTGCGCTCGATCCACTGGATTCGACTCAATGCGTCAACGAACAACCACCGCACAAGAACGACCATCCTGGCATCATCAACTCTGGTAAAGCGGCTCTGAAGAAGGCAAACTCGCCGAAACGTAAGGCGAACATAAGTTTTGTACCAATCTGTTCTCAGGTCAGTCACAGATAGTTGTCAATCTTGAGTTCTTTTACACGTGTATTTACTACCGTACTTAAATAGTTTACTATTTAGGTTGCTGGTACGAACAGTGTCGGGCTGTGATCGCAAGAAAGTTTGTTTAGAACGTATGGCTGCTGAACCGCTTGAAGTTTACGGACCTTCGTTCAGTCAAATGACTTCCAGCCAATTGTGCGGTATGTGCCAACAGGGAAGTTTCCGTGGTTTACCTTAGTCCTCCACTCTTTGATTGATCACCTGCTTAGTTTAATCTCACTAATTTTCTTATCTACCTGTTCCATGCATTATGGCATACTTCTGATCACTACTTAGGAGAAAATGGTCATTGATTACTCGCAAACTGCCGTTTGTATTCTCATCTATTGCGTTACGTAGCCTGAACGATGTTTTTAGTATCTCTGAGAGACCTTTAGCTTATCATCAATTCAGAACTTGGATCAGACCATTTACAAACTGCAATCGTCTTGCAATCCTGCGTCAACGATGAGTTCAGTTGTTTTTCCATCAAATTTCTACTTTATATATATTTAATTGGACCAATAAACCTCTCGATGTCAACATCTCGTCTTTCCATTTGGTCAAGTGTCCTGTTTATTACATCCATTGTCATATTTGTGCACTTTTTTCATTATTTTTAACCATCAGCTATTTGCTGGCGAATCCGTGTTGTTTGTTTTTTGGTGATGACGCGTCAGGTATTCGTTCGTCTTGCACATGAGTGCACATCATCTCCAACACCAAAACCACTTGTAGATGTTCTTATTGTACTTGGGCTTTGAATCCCCTTCATCACATTAGAACAGTTTTCTAGTGCATTCCGCTCAATAACCAGCGGTATATGAAGATGATGGCGATGACATGCCTTATAATGGAGACGGAGTCGTTCATGATATGAAGGAGGAAGATACAGAGGGAATTTCTAGCGAAAAGTGGCAAGTGTTGTTTGATTTCCTAACAGCTTTCTATGTATGATTCGTGATAAAAATAATATTGGTCGAACAGCAAAACTTTACTTTTTGATGGCGAAAATCTTGCAACTGTTTTTACAGGAAGCGTGTTTGGTCGTGGTCAGTGCATTTGAAGAAAAGGGTCCTGTACATCAGCATTTTGGTCCATTTCACGGATTCATCCGAACGAATGTGCAAGCAGCTGTGATGGATGCACCAGCCCAAGTGCAGCACTTCACTGGTAATTGTCCGTTCGTCTTCCTAAAGTTTCTCGCTTTGTATGTCAAAACATTGTTTGCTTAAGGAAACATTGAAAACCCAACAAAGTTCTCACTAAAATCGGGGCAATTTTACTTGTCGAAACCAATAGATTTTGAGGTAGATGGAACACCAAGACCAATAACACTCATTGAGGTAGCACTAAGCTTTTTAGTTTCCATTATCAGTGATTCTTTCCTTTCTTCCTTTTGGAGGCGGAGGTGATCACATAAAGTAGTGAGGCGCTAGCAATCCAAACCTTATCTCCCAAATTAGACGCGACCAGTCCAATCCTAGTTTTGGTCTTCTGACAACGTTCATTTCATTTTATGTGTGAAGAATAAAGGTACTCATTTGTCTATCTACCATTTGATATCGCATGATACCCATCTGCACCACTTTTTTCCCGTTTATCATCGACGGGGCTCCAGTGATGTTTCCATTTCCCCCTCCCGCAAACAGGAATTAGCCCAGTGAATTCTACTTGTTCTGGATCGTCGGAGAGGAACATATTTTTTTCTTCTCCGTCCTTCAAGGAGAGGTGTTATCATCCATTCGGTGAGCATCTGTAAACTTGACATCTTACGCGACCAGACCGTTGAAGGCTGTTGTCCATCAGTTGTTTATAAAATGCATCGTGTAGCCAATCTGCTTAATTTCAGACTCTGTTTTCTAGAGGAACGGCATCGATCAATCATCCATGCTCAACATCATCACGATCACTTCCATCTCCAATTTCTGGTCCACTCTCTTCACACTCTTCGACAACGGCCATAATAGGTTCGTCATTTTTCTGTGTCTTCATTATCTTGTTTATTTTTGGTGAGGAGTCAATCCGAAATAATGTCCATTCCATCTTTCCTTAGCAGGACTCATGCGCAACGGAATTCTTTTTTTGCCCAATAATTTAGTATTCTTTTCTTTAAAATCGCTTTTGTGGCTGATAATTATTATGTGAATTAAGTAGGTGAACGAAAACTTGGTGGCACGGTGGTCCTATGCTGAACAGGTTCTTCTTAGTCGTATATGAAGTATTGGATATCATACAAAAACATTTGAAGGTTCAAAAAATAATGAAGTGGATACATCGAACATAAACAGCAATGGAAATGAGTGTAACTAAAAAGGCCGTATTAATAGTAAAAGTGCTGTCATTTCTAACTATGGGCACCATGGACGATGCGAACCACAGATGATTCGTACTGTGCGCGATCCAATCATCTGATTGCCAGCTTTCGGCAGAATCAACTAACAGGGCTTAGTGGCCAACCGGGAATCTCAGGACGATGAATCGAAATATACTGCCACATGCAGATCGTCTTCCATTGTTTCGTCGAATTTTCATGATATCCTTGAGCACATAATATAAGACTTCGAGTATGCTCTCTCCTTGCTTCTTCGAATTTACCAATTGCATTCGAATGATGGTGCCCCTATACGAGAATTATTAGTGCCATTCTATTTTTGTTGATTCTTTGCTAGGTGATTTTGGAATATTTCAGGGTCGTCTCTGTAATCTTGAGTATCCTTCTCCTCGCTACACTGCTGTTACGAAGCAAATTCAATGGGAAGGTCAAATATGAGAACTTAGGTGTGGAAAGGTTTTTGTTAGGAAAATTCCAATCATATTAAGGTATTTTCTCTTGTTACTTTCATAGAAGAGCGAGTGTGGCGTAGTGGTTAGAGGCGCCCTGCAACACACACGTGGAATCGATCCTCGCACCCATCTCCCACCAATCCTTTCATCCTTCCGAGGTCGGAAAATTGGTACTATACTTGTCTGGGAGGATAACATCACTGGCTCAATACATCGGTAGGCCACCGTGAGTCATTATAAAAACCAGATATGAAATGTTAATGAAGTCGAATGTATGGATCGATTAACGCCGACAGCTTTATCCTTTTTTCATTTGTAAATATATACATGTACATGTAGATTATAAATATACATATGTGTATATATATGTGTATAAACTTGACGATATTGTTGTGCTGTGGACCAAGTTGTTGTATGCTTTCTATAATTTCTTCTCGTGACCTCACAGAGCTTAGTGAGTGCCCTCTCGGCCCGGTGGCTGCTTTAAATTTGATGGTCCCGAAAAGGTAGTTTCAATGCAGATTTGTAATTTCTGCATTCCTAAAAATTAGTTTATATCTGTTAGCGTCAGTAATTGGCCTGTGTTTAAATTTTACGAATTAAAAATACTTCTTTGGTTTCATTCAGGTTGTAATCGCTCGGTAGGAGATAGCAATGAATGCTGTTTACGTATTTTCGATGAAGGATGGGAAATACGTCTTGTCTTGAGAATTCGATGTAGTTTTATTCTTGGCAATAACGTAAATTTTCGTAGTGCAACAGCATTGAATTTCAGTCGTCCAACTTCGACCATGTGGGTGAACAACATCTTGGCTCAAAGTGTTAGACTGAAAGGCTTCGGTGGGGAAAAGTGCTATGGCTGTCCTTCCCTCTATTAAGCAGCTATATTCATAGAGTTCTAAAATTGGTCACTATGCAATAATGGCCCATTCTGTTACCGTTTGAAAGAACAACTGGACAGAACATTTCATTCCACGTGTCATATCAAAAACCGACGTTTTTTAATCAGTTTTGGACGTTTCATTTCCATGGAGATTCCTATAATATTGTGCTTCGAGCTCTTAGGTTTGTCTCAGATCATGACATCCTCGACCACATAATATAAGACTTTGAAGACCCCGAACTGATGGAGATGTTGGAACTCTCATTGGATAAGGCTTTTGTTATTCAGGTGGGTTAAATGTGGTTGGTTGTCTTATCAGTTGAAGGTTTCTTTTGCGCGAGTGAACCTAACGGTTCCGATTTTTCTTATATTGACCACTTTCTAATGTTGTTTGGTCACACTTTTTAAAGACTTTCAAGCATGTTTGTGAAGTCAGATGTTACGAAGGAGCAACTTACTAAGTATGCTTAGGAAATTTTGCAAAGGGAAGTGCTGTCCCATGTAGAAATGTTGTTTTTTGTGAGACAAAGAAAGCGGCATATGAAATCTTACTGAGAAATTCTTCTCTTTTCGTGGGTTTATCATCAATTTATTTAAAAACTTTACTGGGTACATGTTCACCGGCCTTTACTAGCAGCACTGGGCCGCTGCGAACTCGATGGTCGAGATTATATGGGAAAGAAGAAGTTACATCTTTCTGGTCCTGTACTTGCGTTTCTGTTCCAGGCGTTATTTGGAAATTTACTAGAAGAACCTCTTTCCAACCTTTTGCACCACATTGCGTTGCTTTAAAAACATCCTCTTTTTTCAGAGGGCGAACTCAGCCATCGAAAGAGAAGTGAGGCTTTTGAAACCTCAGCAGCTTCACAATACTCAATGGTGAATGGTGCGGTATTTCAATTTAAAGTTCTCGCTTTACTTTTTGTTTCGTTCATTTCTTTATTGTTACTCCTCGTGAAAAAATAATGGCGTGTTCCATGCCATTATATTCCAAAAAACCTCGTGACATATATTTGTTGTTTACATTGTAGATGTATACAATGTTTCGCAATGTTTCGTACCACAGACACGAGTCTTCATGGCGGCGAAGGCTATTTGTGCCTAGAAGCCTATAATCTAAAACCCTCACTAAAGCAGAGATAGCAATTCTGTTCAATACAGGCAAGGCCTAGATTAGATCTCGCTTGGAGTCAAACAAGAGCGATCACTCCAGAGTCAGGAATTGGCAATATACTTGTCTGGGAATCGGTTTTCGATCCGCAAGAGTTAGGGTCGCCATAGTTCGGCTGTCCCCAAGTAACACAGAGAGTTGACTCAAACAGCATTCAACGACATTCACAAGGTAATCCAGAACCCTCAAGAAATTGCTGAACCCACCAACAGGCCCAAGTGCTTTAGTGGGAGATGGATGCGAAAAGAGGAATCGAAGGAAAGTGCGAAAAAATTTACACCAAACGATGGTTACGATAATATTCTTCGGCAGAGCCGTCGCGTAGTTCAGAATCTTGAGGTTTGAAAAAAATGATCACCTCAGAAACAGAAAATTGCTGTAATTAAATTGGTGAAATTTTACAAACGCCACGAAATATCTCCAGAGGTCGCTAACACAAACATTCCTATGGCCACGTAAGGCTACATTCGATCACGAGTTGCACATCTTCCACTGCAAAAATAGATTGAGACTACGACTCACTACTTCACTTTACCGCACTCTTCGGACCAACCGCTAACCTACATCACTTTCTACAAGCATATATAACTGAGGAAATTTTCAATAACGAACTTTCTGCTAAGAATGACCTCGTCGTTACGAATAAATACGAGTAATCAGCATTACAAGAGAAAATAGCTTGCTTCTTTCGACAAAATGTTTTCGACTCCAGTGCGTCTTATTTTAATCGATAAATTTGTGTTTGAGCTCAGTTTTACCGTTCCAGGTTTGTAGTTCATGATAGGCCATTATTTTTCTGGCAACCTAATAGCTACTTTGTTTCACAATTTTCGATTTGTACCTTTTATTATTTGTCGTATGAGTGTGACTAGTATGATTTTTGATGAATGTGGAGAATGGTAAAATCACATTTAGATATGTCCTGCGGAGTCCAGAGGGTCAAGCAGTGTTTTCGGTGAAGAATCTAGCATCGGTCTCCTATACCTCAGATGGTTCTTTGCCGGAGCCAATAGATTTTTTGGAGGAGTGGTCGACGGAAAACTTGAAAGGTAATATTCTTGTGGCTACAGGAATAGTTGGATTATCTGTGAAATACTTCAAAACCATTGTTATTTGGAAAGGCGCCACTTGCCAATTTTACAAGGATTTTTGTGAATGGCGCTTGGTTGGCAATCCACCGCGTCAGGGGTTGGAGTAATACTAATTTATAATGGTTCAGTGGTCTTGTACGAACGAGTTCATTTAAGCCGTAGATGGCACGATACAAAGGAGATGGAGGGATTCAAATTCACACTGATGCACGTTTGTCGACTATTATTAGTCGTAGAAAATCAAATTGCGTTGGAAAAGAGTGGTATCGACAAGTTGGAAGTGAGTTCGATTTTTATCCACTTTTCCGCTGTTACATTTTAAAGTGAAGTCAAACTTCCTCAAGCACACAATTTGCGAACTAAGTATTCATTACGTTGCTGAGATATTTGCAAAACTCTGGACCGCAGGTGTCTATGGTGGGGAACGAACGCGCTGTTGTCCTTTCCGGAGAGTAACGCGTTCACCACCACACCATGCAGGTCCTTTGTTTCGCCTGTCTCTCAGCTATTTCTATCGATCTTTGCCACAGCAATCACCCCTCAGCGGGATTGATCTGGGGCGCCCAAATCGGCATAGAACCCAGTTAAGCTGCGGTTGTAGTTGAAATCACAATGTTTCGCTTAGTACCCTGCCGCGAAATCATAGTAGACAGAGAATAAAAAGGTATAACATTAAGTATTCATTGTTCATATTCTGTAGGATCGTGAATCAGGGAGTAATTATAGTTGGTCAAATCGCGCTGCAGATGGAGTTGTTGAACTGGTCGTTGCAGTGGAAGAGGAAATACAAGAATTTCATTTCCAGTTGGTGAATTTTATGTACATATGTTGCAGCTTCGTTTGTATTTTCTAAAAACGGTTATATTCGCAATGACACCCGAGGATCTAAATGTTGGAGGCTATTGCAACACTTACAGTCAGTGAGAGGTTCATCCTGCAACGATCCTTCGGATGTGTGCTTCCATCACCTCATCCCCTGATCATAACCAAAGCCAAGTCAATTCACGTTAACTGAGTTATTTGACTAGTGATCATAATTTATCCAAATAACGATGCGTTCGAGTTTTTATCAACAATAATGCCTAAGCCTATAAAGTCAGATATGGTTTTCAACGAAAGAAAGCAATTCGTTTCATTTCAGAACGCTGTGGTTGCACACAACTAATTTCCCCGTCTGTATGGATACATTCGGGCAGACTTTGGCCTGACTGTCCTCGGGATTCCAGGGAACGATAATGGCTTAACCAGCAAATCTCCGAAAAATGGCAATTATGCTGGCGACTAGTGAGGACGGGCCGTTCAAGTATCAAGTAAGTATGGATACATTTGCTTGTGTTTTGTATTTCGCACAGAAACCTTTGGTCACTACACTTCTGGAACAGCGGAGGATCTAAGGTAAAATCAGCTTTCTGTTTTCAAAATCACTGTCTGATTTCCAAACCTGTGTTCGTTTCTTTGTTATTAGCTTATCTGAAATGTAATGATGGCTCTCACAAAGATTTTTTTAATACCATAACGTAATCGTAGAACAATGTTTTCGTCAAAGCTAATCATCACAGGACTAACATGTCGTTTCAGTAGTGAATAGTTTTATGAATTTCGCTTCCGCAAAATTCTAGAATTCTAGAGTTGACAAATCCTTTGGAGGTATTTTTTTGCTCCGATTGTTTCCTCAGGTCGGAAGAAGGAAATTTCGAATAGTCTCGCTGTTAATGACCAGGAAATCACCACGAGCTTTTTTGCTTCTGTATGTTCACTGTTAGTGTGGTTCCTGCTGGTATAAATGCTATTGTACTCATTTTATCTTATTCTGGTCGCAACCAAGAATATTATGTGATTATGAATCACTTGGCTGCATATGTAGGTTTTTTCTGATCAGTAGGCGTTTAAACTAATTTTAATTGCTTCGGTTTCTTTCATCTTTTATCGCCTTACTACTACCGGTTTCCCATCGGTCTTATCGCGACTTGGAAAGAGCTAATCAGAAATTCATCGAGAAACTCACTCATAAAAAGTGCTTTGGAATGAGATACTCTTTTTTTTACAAGGTACTGCTGGTTTAACGGCTCCTTGAAAGCTTCGTCCAGATATCCTCATTTTCAGGTGGATGACGGTGGCTTTGTCTGTTCTGAGTTGCGTGTATCTGCAGACGATATAATCAGTGGGAAAACTGTTGCACTTCCAGAAGTGGTGCGTGGCATTACTTTTCTTTATTTCTTGTAACTTCCATATAAAAGGACGATTTCGATACGAATAGTAAGAATTACGTAAAACGAGATGCATTAGCTTTCACTAAATGCTCTGTGACTGGTATGATTGATCAGGTGATTAGGAATCGAACGTTATTACCCTTTCCGGGGGCTACGTTTCCACCATCGCACTATGCGGGTCTTTCGTCCCGCCTTTTCATTAACTAGTTTTATACCTACAGGTCTCATCAGCAACCACCCTTCAACGGGATTAATCTGGCGACCATAAATCAGCATTGAACTCAGGTAAGCTAAAAATGATCGATATGGATATCGATAAAATCATAAATCTACGTGGTTGTTAAGGCGGATTTAGATCTCACCAGCAGGAGGTACGTTGTATTTTTCGAGCTCTTCAAAAAATTTAATGGTCGTGTGCTTTGAGGAGATCGGGTCAGCGAGAGAGTTTCTTCATACTTAAGAGTTGATAGTATACATTATCAAGATCATAGCAATTCGTGACATGACATAGTTGTGTGATTCACTGATAAGAACAGAAAGAGGAAAACTGTACCCCTTTGGAGTGCACACATTATTGCTAACATGAATCTTTGCACGTGCGAGGGGTTTTGATTTATGAGCTTCTTGACGCTGGTGTCGTCGCCGCTGGCTAGTTGTTTCCTTCGCATTCACTAAAATTAACCACGGCCTTGTTACCTGTTGGCTAACTACGTCATTACTATACTCTCATCCTAACAAACAAGCAGCCGCAGACACTGTATCACATCGCGTTTTGTAATAATTGCTTTGTAATGAGTTCTCCCAACGGTTTATCGTCTCGTCGTGGCCTTATGGTGTGGCGTGGTGTGAGTCTACGCTGTCAACGTTAACACTAGAAAGCTTTTCGAAACAAACGCTTGCGAGAGAAAACGGTTTTACAGTCAAAATTTACCGCATTGAAAGGGCAAGAAAATCAACGTAAAGTTAGTAGTAGTAGTAGTAGCAGTAGTAGAAAAGGCCCAGAGAAAAGTGTAGCCCAGTGTTCGAGAAGACGGTGGACCAGGCAAGGCCGTGGCATAGCGATAGATTGTCCACTACATATTTGAGTCGAGTGATTGCCTTAGGTGGACTTCAGGGCTACGGATTGACCTTCTTTTTTTGTGCATAGCGTGAGGTTAATTGTAACCATCACACAGCTCTTCATTAGTCCGTAGTGATCTCAGAAATGTACACTCAGTCACATTAGTCAGTAATCAATGCATCAATGCTCGCTTCATGGTTATAGGAGTTTTTTTGAATTCCTCATAACTTTCCATTAGCTATTGTTTCGGAAGGTGACTATATGGGTGTCGTGTGTACAGGTGACTTTAACTTTACGGGTAGGTCGTTACAGCACAATAATTTATGCATTATTCGTGCTCTGCAGGTTTCCACTAGATAATCCGTATTCTACCAAAGTGACACACTTCCGTCTTGGACGAGAGTCTTTCCCATTTAACGGTTTGATTACTCTTGGAGCTAATTCATCTGATTCGCAAACAGAACTGCTTGCAAATTCTCATTCAGCCGACTATCAATGAGCAGTGGAACTTTCAACTTCATTCTGTACAATTATCCACTCTCGTCTTGATCTAACCTTCATTTTCCAGACGAACTACTGATTTCCTAATTCTTCCCTACGCTGTTCTCTTCCATTGAGGTGACCTGCGCTCCAAACGGACTGATCAATGGAAACGATGAGCGGTGAGACCAACACACTTGTAGAAATTCGTTGCTTTGTTCGAACACTTAGTATTATCTTATTATGTGCTATTATGCATTTATCTTACTGTTCTACTTTCTAGTTCCTACAGTGTTATTTCTACGCTTACGTTTACGGTAACATAGAAACTAGTATGGATGCCAATTTGGATGGAGCTAATCAGAAATTCGTCGAGAAACCCAATCGTAAAGAGTGATTTGGAATGAGCTATTCTCCTTGTGACAAGGTACTGCTGTTAGTTGAATAAGGATAATTATTGCCTTTCCTAGGATGCCTGCTTCTGAAGACGATGTAATCAGTGGCAAAACTGTTGCGCTTGCTGAAGTGGTGCGTTACATCACTTTTCTTTCTACTAGCACCTTTTCTACTTTTATGTAATTTGGTAGGCGATCTGGATGCGAATAATAAGAGGTACGTGAAACGAAATCTATCAACTTTCATTAGAAGCTCTGGAAGTCGTATAGTTGATATGGTGATTTGTCCTAATACGGTTTTCCTTCTTTTAACACATAACCGTCAAAGGTGGTTCTTCGAAAACTAACTATAATTTCTTTAAGGTGTTAGCTTTCTATTTACTGTCTATTACAATTTTTCAAGCCATCGTGTTTTGTGAGGTACAGCCACAACGTTGCTGAGATACTGGCAAAACTCCGGACCGCAGTTGCCTGCGGTAGGGAGCGAACGCGCTATTGTCCTTTCTGGGGAGTAACGCGTTCACTACTGCACCATGCAGGTCCTTCATTTTGCCTGCTTCTCCGCTAGTTTTCTATTGATCACTGCCATTAGCAGTCACCCATTGATCTGAGGACAACAAATCGGCTTCGAACCTTGTTAAACTGAGGCTGTAGTCGAAATCACAATGTTAACTTTTTAGCACCATTTTGGTTTTATTTCACATAATACCTTGCCATGAGGAATTTTAGTAGGCAGTAAATAAAAAGTTAACACTGTGAGTCAATGGAAAATTCGCACCTTAAACTAGTGAAAATTTTGGAGCGATAAGGTCCTTAAACAACTTCAAGGTTTGTAGCGCGCTTTCATCAGTTTCCAGTTCACCAGTTTTCTTCCATAACGTCTCCTGCGTCCGACCTTCATGGTTGGGTGTGCGCATTTCCTTTAAAAATTGGCCAGATGAGGCTTGAGACGTAGTGGCGAGAGGTGTTTCAGCAAGGAGTGATAACAATGTTAACATAAAAGTTTCAATATGATTTCCTACAATAATTCATGAGGATTGGATAGCTATTGATTACGTAGTTCAAATTATTGTTAGGAAAGGGAGCATACTTGGATACTTGTGGTTTCCTCTGTTGAAGAACGTGAAGTTCATTTGAAATTCGATATATTCATGAATTTTGTGATTTCGATTATGACTAAGACGAAATTTTCGGATTAAGGACACTTATCTGGTTTTAACACCAGACTATTTAGTTAAGTCGAAAGTTCAATTAGCTTCTTAGAAAATAGAAAGCAAGTCTTGAAATTCGAAACCGCCCTAGAAAATTGATAAACGTAACAAGTTTCGGAGTTCTTCGAAAACTTTGGATGGACTCAAACAAGCACTTGTGAGAGAAGAGAGCTTCACAGTGAAAACTCACCATTTGAAAAGGACAAAGGATCGACGTAAAGGTAGTAATAGTAGAAAAAGCTCATAGAAAAGTGTTACCCTGTGTTCAAGAGGTTGGTCAACCAAACCAGACCCCCGGTGAGTCGGCCTCAACTCTTTCGGGTCGCATGATTGCCTTAGGTGAACTTAAGGGCTACAGATTGACCCACCTTTCTTGTACATAGCTTGAGGTTAACTATAGTCATCGGTGGCGCTTCAGTAACCTGCAGTAATCGCAGAAATGTATAGTCAGATGCATTAGCCGGTAAGCACTTCTCGCTTTATAGCCATAGGAATTTTTTTGTTTTCTCTCTTTAACCTCTCGTCTTCAACTACTAACAGACTTGTTGGCTGATTGAAAAGATCCATAATGTGCGGTCTGCGAGATCAACATACTTGCAGTTGTCGAACTCTCAACAGGTATGTCGAGTACACTCTCATCTTGATTTAACCTCCCTTCCAGACTACCAACTGATTTCTTAATCCTCCACCCTCCTTTCTTCGTTGAGGTCACCCATCGTCTGAAAGGACTGATCGATTGGAAGGATAAACGGTGAGACCAACAAAGTCGTAGGGATCCGTTGCTTTGTTCTAACACTTCATATTTATTTTGAAACCGACTTTCCTTGGACATCGGTGTGACTAATCAACATGTATGTCAGGTCTTCCTCAACGGGCCATCTCCTCGAATGAGGTATATTCACTCGGTGATGCCGTTTTATGCAGCATATTTATTTCATTGTTTTCCTGTTACTATATGTTTACTACGTGTTGTGCAC